AGATGTGTATGATTTAAAAACCCCACCTAATTATCAGGCTCTTGCTGATGTTATGGTGATGCTTTGTATCCGCCCTGCTGAACTTACAACTTTATGTATTACAGACTCTGGAGTGACAGGTTATGCGAAGAATTGAGGTCAGCCAGGTATTCCTAGAAAATTTAGATCTATGGAGAAGGATCAAGAACGAGCCAAAGAACTACTCACTTGGATTCAGCATGCTATATCATCTGGATGAATGGGTGATCCAGGTAAGCCAGGAGTTAAATGGTTCAATAAATTCTTAAAAGATTATGATTTAATTCCTAAATATTTACGTAAATTAGGAGCAGTTTACGGTGCAGTATTACATAAAGCTGAGAACCCAGCCCACGTCTATACCATTGCTGGAGAATGTCTACACCACAATTCCGACAACCATACTTCACCTGTGCAAAATTACGTTGTAGTCAATTATAGAAAAAGAGGAGTTCCTTATGAACAAGCAAGACCATTTCATATCTATGATCAAGATTAATTACGCTTCTTTACTTTTGATTCTAGACATGGGCACTGATTGTCGCTAGCTGATTTTTTGACGAAAATTTCATGCAATTGTTGAAGAGAGACATTCGGAAATAATGGTAGTCCCTCACCAGTAAACCAAAATTTTTTTACCCCTATATCAGCGAAAGAAATACCGGATTTACTTTGCCGTGCCTTTTCAAGAACCTTTAGAGAAATATACCCAGAATGGAATTCCCATACTTTAACAATTGCTAGTAGTAGTGATAAGAAAAAAATGTCACTTCATATTTCTACTTTTGGTATGAGACTTAAAAATATAACAGCTTGTGCATTATTTACTGAGCTTGTTCGTAATAAACTCCGGTGGGGCTACAAAGCAAGGAAATTGTTGATAACATCGCCAACAAAAACTCATTTTCCTTACGAATGCTTAATAGTCTGAAGGTAATCGAAATAAAATGTAATGAAAGCGGTAGAGGCAGAGCCTCATTGATTCACAATAAAAAATCATATAAGCATATCCGTCCAAAGAAAGCATTATTTCCAAAAGATAGTTCTGTTTTCGATTTTATGCTTCGTCCTCCACATGATGAATCACAAATTATAGATAGCCCAATGTTAGACATTCCAGACCCTAAAACATCGAATAATTGTAGGTCCATAGACCATGCTTCGCATAAAAGTGATGCAGGAACATTCGGATCTGAAATAGAATTTATAGAAAGATTGCTTGAAGAATATAAAATAGAAGGTTATGAAGTTTTGTACCCTTCACCCGCACTTCCAGACATTTTTCCTCTAAACCGTACATCTATATCTGATTGTCCACTTTGTAAATGAGAGCACACTAGTGATAATGCATATGTGATCAGAAATAAAAAAACTTACCGCTACTATTGTCATCGTTCAGATCAAGAAACATCCACAGGTACGAGAAAACCATTGTTGGAACTTATCGTTAAAGAATCAATTGAAGATTGAGAAAAAAACCTCCCCAAACTTGTAAAATTAGAGCAATCTAGAATTTCCAATCCCAATGATCATTTTGTATGGGGTGACTTACTGGATATGTGTGCCTCAAATAAAAAATTTTCTCGTGACGAAGTATATGAAGCCATTCAAGCAACAGTTGCCTGTGTTGATGGCTTGGAAACGTGGTTATTTAAAGTTGAACATCCAGAAGATGGGCTTTATTTTAATATGAAATCCAAACTTAGTCTTGCTAAATATGAAATCAACATAATCGAACTAGGCAGAGAATTGGTAAAATTAAGTTCATTGATACAACGAGCTTTTACTAATAACCTAATTCGATATCACATTATCAACTTTCACCCATACTCACCAAATGTGAACCCGCCAAAGACGAATTTCTTCAATCTCTTCTTGGGATTTCTAGCTAAGCTGACAAAAGAGATTAATACAAAGATCATGAATCCTATCCTCTGGCATGTAAAATATGTGATCTGTAATGGGAATGAGGAACTTAATAAATATATTTGGAACTGGTGGGCATTTTTAGTACAAAGACCGGAGAAGAAACCTCGCTCAATTCTAGTATTAAAATCTGCACTTCAACAGTGTGGAAAAAATATTATTACTGATTTTATTGGTGATAAGGTATTAGGACCAAATCTCCATTACGCGACTTCCGATCTGGGGAAAATTCTTGGAAAATTTAATAGTCTTATTCAAGGCAAAAAGCTTGTAGTTATGAATGAAACTAGTATGTCTAGTGGGGAATGGCATAGATTCAATGGTCATCTCAAATCTCTTATAATGGAGGGAAGAGTATCTATAGAACGAAAAGGTCTAGAACCTTTAAGATTAAATGATTTTAGTGGGTTTATGATTACAAGTAACCAGGATGCCCCTATCAAAATAGATGCTGGCGATGCCCACGTAGTTTGTTTTGACGTATCTCCATGTTGTAGGGGTAATATACCATATTTTGATCGACTAGGAGAAATTCTTGATCATCCTGACGCGCCAGGAGTAGTCATGTCATATCTTCTTAGCCATGATCTGACAAAGTGGAGTCCACAGAATTTCCCTATCACTAAAATGAAAACAGATACAATAATGAAACAACTCCCAAACCCTATTCGCTTTATAATACAACATATTAAATCATGGTCCAAAAATCAAATCGAAAAACCAATCTGTGGAAATTTATATCAAGATTATCTTACTTGGTGTGGGAATGATGGCAAAGATCGAATCAGTAATAACAAATTTGGAGGTTTTCTTCCACTGATAGGAATTGAGAAAAAGCAAGTACGGATTAATGGAAAAAGAGAATGGGTATATATTCTTGATCGATCCAAAATCGTAGCTAAGTTACGTGAATCGGTAGGTGATATCAAGGAATTTTTAGACACACCTGAAGCCGAGACATTTACCAACACTTCCACGGATATCCCTGTATTCGATATATCTGAAATTACACCTACCGAACCAGAAAAAAAGATATCTGAGTCATCGACCACCGATCACATCAAAAAAGGTAAGAATGTATCACCTGCTTCACCCATTACTAACATGACCCAGGATCTCTTCGATTCTATAACAAATGAATCTCCAGTTGCTTCGTCATCCAAGTCTACCAATATATCTCTGCCTCCCGAGATCGAACATGTAGAATCTGTAGACGATAGATCCGAACCAGCTTCTGAGATCATTAAACCAGCGAATGATGAAGTTGAACCATCTCCTATTGAATCTGTGGAAAATGAACTGAGAGCCAGCAACGAAGCACCTCCCCAGCAGATATCATACACACCCGGATATCAAACCAGAGAGCAACGAGAAATACGATTAAGGCAAAAAGCTGTTGAGCTTGGAGAGGATCCTGATAAATTCGTTACCATAACTGAGAAGGATAAGCTCGATTCGATAGCATTCCGTGATAGAATGCAGACCGATGCGAGAATGTGTGGTTATGCAAAGGAGGCCGAAGAAGATCCCAGTGAATATATGGATATGACAGTGCGAGAAAGATTAATAAGTGAAGAAATAATCCGACGCGGTCTCGAGGATAAAGGAATTACATCATCATGGCTCGATACTGACGAGGAATGGAAAAAAACGATTAACATACTCCAGGAAAATGGTATGTTATGGTAAATTGTAAATCATTACTAAATGTATATCAATATAATAGAAGTAAATTTTGTTAATAGAAACTTTGGTAAAGGGGGCTTTTTTCGTCCTTTACAAATATCGTATATAAAAATTCAGATTAAAATATATTAGCCGTGCTCGCTTCGCTAATTATGTATCGTTTTTGTCTTATCTTACCCAAAGCTATTTTATTTTTTTCGGCTAATTTCACTAATTTGAAAAAATAAATTTTATATAGTAAATACTCGGTATAAATATAGTCTACATATTCATCCCATAATTACAATGTCAAGAGTTGTTTCAAATCTCGTAAATCAAAATAATCTAACTCCTCAAATGAGCGTATATAAACTTAATTATTATGTTGAAGAATTGGACAAAGACCTGAAGGATTCCAAAGCGCGTGAACACGCTAGAAATAGATTTCGAAAATTAGGTTTTAGTGAAGATCAAGTATACGCTCTTGTCCCCATTCAAACATCCGGGAAGCGTGTAACAGGAAGAGAACCTATTAAGAAGATCGCATTATATATTATGCAAAATAATTTAAAGGCAGAAGAAATAAATGAAATTGCGTACGATCTAACAAAAACAGCTCCCAGTGAAGTAGCTAAATCTTCACGTCTTGTATTGCTCCGAAAAGAGTTACGTAAACTCGGAGCTGATTATCATATATTGGAAGCTACAAGAATACCTGATATCACCTATGAATCAAATAAAAGGCAGAGAGAATTGCAAGAACTACGTGAAGATGAGGGATTCGACTGTCCAGACTTCTTTACTCTAGAAAAAGTACAAGAGCGGTTAGAAAAATGTAATACGGCTAGCTCTCCTTCAATGCAAAACTTAACAGATATAATGATAATGTTATGTATGAGACCGGCAGATGTAGAAAATCTTCGAATTAATTATTACAATCGAAATAATGATGAATGGTATAATTCTAAATATTCTTGGTACTGTACCGGATATGCTAAAAATAGAAATGAAAAAAGCGTACCTCGACCATTTGTATCAATGGAAAAGAATCCTATACGGGCTAGAGAATTACTTACCTGGATCCAAAAATCAATACCGGAGAGATTTCTATCAAAAGGAAAAGATGGTAATGTGAACGTTAATCCAATTAGTAACTTCTTAGCTCGTCATGGTATTAGCTCATCACATTTAAGAAAAATAGGTTCTAGTCATGCCATTATAGTACATGAAGGTAAGAATAATGCTCAATGTAAGCGTCTCTGTCAATTAGCAGTGAGACATAAAATAATTAATATTGCGTCAGATCACTATAGTATAATGAATAGTAGACCTAGTGTCGAGATACATAATAAACCAGATACAGTAGAAGAAATCATTGATCTATATAATTACTAATTTCCTGTTAACTATTACGATAAAAATTTTTTTATCCGTTACTCTTTCTTTGTTTATCGTATATGTACATCATATTCTATATCAGTAGAAAAATTAGACTCTGTTTCCGATGATCCGCTATTATTTTCAGTTTATTTAGTAATTCTTGATGAATCGATTCAGTATTACTATTATTTTCAACTATTGGAATTAAAATTATATTATGTATTAGAGATACTAGTACCGTTATTAATATATAGAAAAAAAAATCCAGATTAAAAATATCATATAATTTTGAAATGATACAGCTTAACATTTTTAATTTGCCGGAATTATTAGAATCGATTCTACATTTTTAGCAATAGATCGCTCTCTTTATCCCACTTTGTTTGTTAATCAGTTTTGGTATCACTGCGGTGCTCCTATTCTATAGTATCGCGTTGAGTTTTTCAATGAAGATTATCAGCAGAGTCGGCATGCCTTAAATATGTCTCGGGTTCTTACTCGGCGATTGATAAACTTTGAAAGAAGTATGCGTAGAAAAATAAAGCCACTCTATTGTTCAAAGATGGTATATCTCAGATTGGAAGGTTTAAAAATCTCGGATGATTTGATCAGTACAATTCTGCATTCATGTCCGAATATTTGCTTTCTTATTCTTGATAAAAGTAAGGGTTTCAGTAATATACCAATTATAGAAATTGCGAGATTTTCTCCAAAACTACAGCATCTGAGTCTTAATTCATGTATATGTTTCACTAATCGATGTATCACAGAAATAGTGCGTTCTTGTCCAAAACTTAGACACCTTGAGCTTGGTAACTGTTCGATTAGTAATAAAGCTGTCGAGGAAATAGCCCGCAACTGTACTAATTTGAAATATCTTAGTTTGGAGGGATGTAAAGGGATTAACAAAGAAGTAATAAAAAAATTCAATTCAAAAATTAAATTCGAATATCCTGATTATTCAGATAAAAAATGGTCCGATTCTGATCTACCTCTACCTATTCCAATGTTTACCGGTACATTATTAGATGAAACAGATCTTATTTCTGCGCTCAGTAATTGTATCAGAGAGATTGGCGGAATTAATCCTAATCATTCATGGTTTACAAATAATTTTACTTAATGTCGAAGAATAGAGCGGGTAATCAGGTATTCGACAGACAAAGAATTTTTATTTGCTGTGATGTATATATATCTGTGATAATTTTTCTTGTTTTACTTTTGATTCTAGACAAGGGCACTGATTAAACTTCATCTTCGTCAGACGAATCTTCTGGGTTATCAGTATTATTATGAGTCATCATTGAATCTATAATTAGTTGATGAATTTCCGGTTTCACTATAGCTAACAATACACGTAAAGAAATTCTGATTTTATTATTCTTAAATGATGAAATAAGCCTAGAAACATTATTTCGTGTACTTTTACTAATATTAATGTGTAAATTCGAGGCTTCAGGATTATTGGTTTCGATTGGTATAGCCATTTTATTAAATGAAAATAAATTCGACCAAAATTAAAAAAATTAATGTACGTTAAATATTATGTTGTGGAAAATCATCCGAGATCGCCCATAGAGAATAAATTAATTCCCATTCATGAGAAATATTGCTCCGAAATTACTAATTTATTGATTTTTTGACTTGCGGAAATACTAACATCACTTCGCGGCTATAAAATGGCTATAAAAACATTACTTATTATTTGATAGAAAAGAAATATATTAACAGTATGGATGTTACGTGCCTTAGGTCTCTTGCTTTGAATATTCTCAAAAACGGTTATCCTGAAAGTATTGCAAGTAGTATTGAAATTCCCGAATTAGAACCATGCTCAATATGTAATGAAGAATTATTTTTACATCAATTAAAAAAATCATTCACCGTATTAACATGTGGACATATTTTTCATAGACTTTGTCTAGAGAATAATAGAGAAAATACAACCATATGTCCTAACAAAAATTGCGTCGCGGAAATCGAAATCATTGAAAGATCGCCACTAGCGAGAATGTCATCACAAAGAAGTATGAGTATAGATGGATCGCAAGATAAATCATTTGATCCAACGATCTTCAACAACGCCTTTTTAGATAATGATCCAACATGTCTAGATACAATTACGGAAGAAATTTCCAACCATGTACGAAACATTGAATCTGATATACCTGAAACATCGACTGCAAGTACTTTACCATCCAAGCGTGTTGGAGATCCTACGTCTGTTGATAAACCCTCTAATAAAAAACCGAAAGCAGTTAATAGAGAAGATTCATTAAAACTGAAAAAACTTATCGAAGAATTGGCTAATTCACCAAGCCAAGAATTATCAATATCTGCTTCCGATTCTGTTTCAACGATAGATACTCTTAATTTTTTACACTTATATCGCGAAATTACTAAAGCTGAGACCCGAAATGAAAAAACGAAGCAAGAAGTGATTCAATGTTATTATAATTTTGGAGAACTCTTATCGCAACGTTTCTATTTTCATTATAGCCAAGTTAAGAATGACCAAATGGCTCAAGTGGAAGTTAACAAGGAAGCCAGAGAACAATTACCTAGCAATATTTCGGGAGATGCTTTTAAGAAGCGAACCGAAAGAGCTCGAAAGGTTTACTTTCTTTTTAGTCAAGAACATATTGGAAAAGAAAAGATAGGATTAGTAAAATCTTTTACGGCATTGACTATTTCGAAGTTAAGTCTGGGCGATATTAAATATATAATAAATAAAACAAAACCTTCGTGAGAATAGTATTACTACGCCCATGACCTCGAGGACATACCCTGCCTAACTGTGCTACACACACAGACGAAATATTCTTATAGTAATAGTAGTTTTAATCATTATTAACGCAAAAATTAAAAATATTTAATGGTTTGCACATTTATTTTAACAATGTATATGCGCCTATATTGACTGTTTCAGAATTGCCTGTTGCGTGAGATACGATTCTCATAATCTTTGATCTTCCGCGATCCACTTTTTCAAGTATAAAAGTGTATACTTACCTTCAATAAATTCCCTGACTGTACTTCATGAAAATTGGAAGTTCATACTTATATTTTATGGGATCTTTCTTAAATGCGGGTAGGTAATAGTTGAGTGTCTTTTCCATATTTTTTTTTAATCGTTTAGCAAAGTAAAGAAGAAATTCAAATTTTAATAATCGATCAGATAATTTAATTAAGATGTTACACAATATCAATGGGGCTGTGCAACGAAATTATTTTTATATGCATGCATGTTTATTTGTGCGATTAACCAAATTCGATTAATTAGCATTCATGTACATTATTTTCTTTGTGAGAGGAATTCATGGCGTAAATACATTCTCAAAAGAAGAAATAGGCGAAAACGGTTTAAAAGGACAGTATAACGAAGTTAATAATATTATTCATTGCTTTTTGCTATTGATTTAATAGTCTCTTGCTAACTTCTTTTCCATCCGCTTTTAACATAATTTATATCAATTTAACTACATTAAAATGGCTACTGTATTATTTGAAAAAATTTACAATTTCCTTGGCGAGTCCCCTTTGAAACATATTAGTGCCGTATCAGTTATATATAAAGCAATTGAGGATGAACCATGGATTAATCAAAGGAAATTAAAAACAATGATACAACAAGTAATTAATACTTTGCTGAAGAAGATTTCCCCCAGAACTTCACGATATAAGAAACTAGCTAAGATTCCTGAACAGGTTAGTAGTCAAGCTTCTTTATGGAATTTAAAGATTAGCATTGAAGAATGATGAAGGCGCAGAGTGTACCATCTTCCAACACTGAATATAATGATAACAGTCTACTCACCCTATAGTCCGCGAGTAAGGGATTTATCCTTGGAAGCGTGAAGGGTGATGAAACTGTTTGTTTATGTGTGGTTAATGCGGTACCATACAAAGCGCTGTTGGAGTTGTGGCCACACGAAAACAGTAGCTTTGTTTTTCCTGACGGCGTGCACGCTAATTTTGGATGTATTATAAATCATGAACAAATTCTAATTTAAATTATTCTACTCCAGTTTGATATTGCGTATGAAGGTGTCTGCACACTATGTGAAATCGGAGTAATGAAAACGGTAACCTTAAAGTTTTATCAATACCATCCAATAATCAATAATGACATTCGCTAATTTTTTATGATAATCTCGCTATTCAATAAAGAATGTGGAAGGTCCACTCAGCTTTAACGAGATAGAAGCCAACATTATGGAGTTGAAGTCAAAATTTTCGGTAAGTACATTCCGCAAACATTACATAATAATAATAATAAGTCTTATCACCAGATTTCTCATAGCTTTCTGATTTTATTAGAAAAATCCATCACCCCTTTTCAACCGTTTGCTTGTTGATCTACAAGGTATTTCTGCATATGAATTGTCATGGAAGGACCCTATCGCCAGCCAGGTTGTTAGCGATAACTCGGATATGATACGGCAATTACCGGAAGATTTATTTAATAATTTTATGGTAGGTGATTTACCTTCATTGACAAGGGTTTATTCAATCTTTTCTTTTTCACCTGCACTAATGGTCAACTTGGCTTTATGTGCTCGTTGCGGGCATTAATAATTGATTTAACTTCACTAGGAACTTGCACAAAAAATGGTACCTCCCTCTTTATCGGTCGTTCAAGAAGCATGTAGAAGATTTATATCAAGTTTTGATGAGTTTCCTGCTGTAATTTATCCAGAGAACCTATCACACGACGGGAATTGGAAAGAATCAAACGATTCTCTATTAGAGATTGCATCTGGGATTCTCAATGTAATGTGAGTACTGGAAAAAAGTCAAAATATCCGTTAATTCTCGATAAATAAATAAATAATTATTTCAATCGCTTTTCCTTGGTAGAGATGACTCCTGGAAGAATCCAGCGTTTGGGACTGAATTTGCATCATCTATGAATGAAGGAACTTATGTTACAAACGTAATCATACCCGCGGTTAGGGCTTCGTTAAAAAACCTTTATCTCGGGACAACCTCATTCATTAGCACGTAGGTTATAATTTACTAGTCACTATATGGTTAAGTAAAAAAGCTATACATATGATTATTTCTATAGTTCGGAAAGACAAAGTGTCGCTAGTGCGGATAGAAGAAAGGAAAGTGGCCATTCTGGGAGACGGCCTGATATAATGTTTGTAATAGAAGATAAGGGATATATTTATGAGCTCATGTTTAGTGAATGCTCACGATTAGTATGTATTGAGCGCAAAAAAAGTGACGACGACATTAAGTTGTGGCGAGAAGCCAACGATGGGATTGCTTGGGTTCGTAAGGGGTGTAAACCAAAAAAGGAAGAATTTGGAATTATTGGATTGCAAGTTGCTGGTACTGTTTTATTTTCTTCAACCGATTTTTAAGTAAATACTAATACAGGAACAAATTTTTAGGGGATATGCTGCATCTCAATGTGCTTATAATGGATGCGACAGATGTACATCGTTACTATCATTTGAAATCGGTAAAAATTCCTGTTCAACGGGCAGATGAAGCCGTTGTAACAAATTTCGTGGAGACCTTATTAATCATGCGGGTATGTTGGCGGTGTTGCATCTGAGCTTCTACTCTTTATTATGTTCTTCGCCCACAACTAACTAATTCTCATTCCATAGAATATTTTATTTGTCAATATATCTCTCCTACATAATGCACCAATATCCAGATCACGTAAGAATATAGAAAAAAGTACAACAGTATCTTCAGATCAAGGAAATGATTAACAGGTATGTCATTTTATATAGATGTCTTATGTTTGGCAATAGAAAACTATGTAGTTTAATTTTTAATAAACTCACAATATGAACCATTTCAACTGAGAATATCCGAATCGAGATTATTTACCTCTAGATATCTGCATACCTCTCCATAATCAAATATCACCTTCACATCTTGCGTGTTCTTATTTATAATAGTTATAAAGTCTTCGTCAATTCTATACATATACTTATCCTTATTTTTATATTGTGAGTACTGCGTAGGATTCATAGTGTATATTTGCCTTGAGTTCTGCGTCTGTTATTTTTAGATTTACGAGACGTATTAACATATCTATATAAATAAATGACTTCAATTTTCCCCGATTAATCTCGGATAAAAACACGAATGAATATAAATGGTTATGTAGATCTTGTTTTATTTTATGAAATAAAAACTTTACTGAAGTAAAGACATAAAAATAAAAATATAGCCCCAGAAGGACGTAAAAAATATGTATTACCATTACATGATGCGAATACAAATAAAAAAATCTAATTATTCATTCTCTGGTTCACGTAGGGAGTATGCAATAATGTGATATATGTTTCTAGGAGGATTATCATTGAAAAAACTAGAGATTGGAGCTGGTGATCGCATACGCCTTTCATCTACACTTCCAGGATAATAAATCTGGCGAATATCGAGAGGAATATTATTGAATGGAGGTGACAATTGATTCTGAATTGCGGTTTGTAGATCATCAACCGTTGCATCTCTG